AAAAAAAAAAAAAAAAGTTTGCATTTTGTCCTGGCCTGTGCCAGGCACACTTCCCCTGGTGGCTGCCCTGCTCTGGGGTCACAGTTCTTGGTCCGCCTGCAGAATCTCCTGGATCTTGGTGAGAATGTTGAGCTTCCCCTCCAGCTCCTGAGCTCGCTTCTTCAGCTCCTCAGCTAACTCTGACTTTGCCCCCTCTTGCAAGTGCTTTGACTCGTATACAAGGCTGACCACATCCAGCACAAGCAAGATGCCTCCAGTGGCCACACCCAGAGCCTTGTTTCCTCTGCTCATTTCCAGGGCGGGGATTTCAGTAACTCTCTCCACCTCTTCATCGCTTTCAGCTGAGATTCCAATGATCTCAAGGGGTCTGGCAGATGGTACCAATTGAGAGTTGGCTCTGGCTTCTCTGATGGCACGGATGTCCTTCCCACTGCCTTGTATGACTTGGTAAGAATTGTCAGCTAAGGAAAGAAAGTTGGGTGTGTTCTCACTCATTAATTCCTTCATCACTTTCGCTACATCAGGGTCTCTTTGGTCTAAGTTTCCGGCTTGGCGTTGTACTGACAACTTCTTTGCTTGTTCCACGATACTGCTGGTAATCCGGTCACAGCGGCCACTATTCCTGCCCCCATCCCAGTTTCTGAGAGCACAAGGCTGACTCCATCTGTGAGGGGTGCCAGACCCAGGCTGAGGAGGGTCAGGATGTCAGAGATAACGCCGGCAGTGCTGGACACCACGTTGGTGATGGTGGTGCCTCTGTGGACCTGCTCAACCCCGTCTGCAAGGATATAGAGCTTTATTATGTGATCCTGAAGGTCCCTTTTCAAGTGAGGAAACTCTTTCAAAAACCACTTTCTGTGCTGCTGGTCTTTATCTTGCCAGTTTTTGTCCTTCCTGGTCACGTGTTCTGCAAGCTTGTTCAGAGCTTTACGGAAATCATCTGTCTCATCCCTGCACAAGGAAAGGTTAAAGGATTAAGAAATGCAGTTTCCCTGTCTGTGAAATGAGCTCCATGCAATCTCTATCCTGTGTAAATTGCAGAGCTTTCACTATCATCAAATAGAAACAAATTTTACAAATGAAGAGACTTTAAGCTCAAATATGTTTTGTTCATCATAAATACCCCTCAGTACTTATTCCATATGGAAATAAATATCTTAAAGGCATCTCAGATGCTCTTTCGTGGTAGGTGTTTGATAAAGATGCCTCCTCACTCAAGGGCAGGTCAACACTGTGACTGCCAAAGTGTTTGGAGAGGGGAAAACTCTGCAGATGAACAAAGAACAGTGAGAGTGGGACAAAGACACCTTATTCCCAGGATGGCAGCAAAGTGAAGCATGAACTTTTCCCAAAGAGAGACCTTCCCTTTGTCCTCAGCTCCTGGGTCCAGGCTCTTGGAGTGTCCTGCCTGGTAGGAACATCTTTATTTCCCTGATGATTTGGCCATGGGACAGTATAGCAATGTGACGGATGATGGAGTTTGGCGCTATTTGGTATCTTTTCTGACCTGCAGAGGACATGTGTACTAAAGGGGTTAGACCTCAGGGAGGGACTGGAGACTCCAGGTCAGCCATGAGGGCAGCTTGTGATCCAGCCCCAGCAAATA